ATTCTTGGCCGAGCCAGAACTTTGTCACCTTCATCTGGTTGAGTGTGAGGGTCCCGGTTTTGTCAGTACATATGACGGTGGCAGAACCCATTGTTTCACAAGCAGAGAGCTTTCGTACCATTGCCTGATCAGCCATCATTCTCTTCATCGAATAAGCCAAAGTAACTGTGACAGCCAATGGCAAGCCTTCAGGAATCGCAACAACAACAATAGTTACTGCAGCAGCTACAATCCCCACACAAGAATTGATGATAGCATCAACTTTTGTCTTGCTTCCGTTGAACTCAGTATTTCCATTCGTATCTTTTGTATTCCCTGTGAAGTAGCGAACCAACAACACTACAAGAACTAGGAAAGCAACAACCAAACCAACCTTACCTATGGCCGAGGTTAGCTTGTTGAGACGGACTTGTAAAGGCGTCTGCTCACTGGTGTCGCTGCTGATTGTGCTCATCATCTCACCCCATGTTGTGTTCATGCCAACCGATGTGACAAGCATTCGGCCAAACCCATCAGCCACCTTGGTACCGGAAAACAAGAATGGATTTTGAGTGAAATTTACCCCTACATTTTCACTTTCGCCTGTCATGCTTGATTCATCAACTTGTAGCGAGTGACCATCTATGAACAACCCATCAGCTGGAACCTGGTCTCCAATCTTCAAGCAAACAACATCTCCAACAACAATTTCAAAAATCGAAACTTGTTGCCGCCTGCCATTTCTCACAACGTCAATTAGGATATTGTTGCTAACTTTAGATAATTTGAGAAATTGCCTATTCTGCTTGAAATTACTTCTGGCTGAGACTGCTATGACTAGAAAGACAGCAGCAAATATGCTTCTTCCATCATGCCACCCTTCTTTCAGCCCATTTTCTTTTATGCCAAATCCAAGTGAAAATGCTGCACACACTAAAAGGATTATAATAGTAGGATCTTTCAAAGCCTCCCACATGAAACAATAGAAACCTTTCGTGGAAGGCCTTTGATATATGTTAGTGCCAAAAGCTTCGTGCCTGTGCGAAATTTCTTCATTGCCTCCATTTATTCCATGCGCCAAATTGGTTTTGAGGGCAGAAGCTAAACCTTCAACTCCATCATATTTTTCGACAAGCTGGTGTTGGGTATACCTCCTTATTGGAGTGTGGGACCCAATTGGTTTACTAAAAGCATTTTAATTTGGTTTGGTTTAGGTATAATATATTTTTATATATTATATCTAATTTTGTGGAGACCCAATTTAGTTTGGAAACAACTAAGGTTTTGATAAAAAAAAAAAAAAAACCCTAGATTCATGATACATATGATTGGTATTGTTTTTCCCAAGGAAAAAAGAGGCGCGGCTGGTTTTATGTGTTTCGGTATGGTACGATAGTAGTGGCTGCATATTGATATTTTTCAGTGGGTTTTGTGGTTAAAGCAAAAGCTTGCTGGTTAATTAATCCCTGGTTGCATATTCAAGTGCACTAGTTTTTTGGGTAATCAAGTTGGTGTTTATTCGGCTGTTTTGGTGGAGTTGATTTGGGTTATTATTTTGGGTCTTCTTCAACTCTAGTTCTGAAGATTTTGGTTCATCTATTTGGTGAGGTCTTTCCTCTTGTTTATTTGTGATTATTTGGAATTCACCTAAGGGTGGTTTGTGAGACCATTAGTGTCTCGTTTGTAATCGTTTGGAAACTATTTGGTTGATAGTGGAATCAGATTTCGATCCCATGGACGTACCTCACATTAAGGGAACCACGTAAAATTCTTGTGTTGCTTTTGATTTAATTTTTCCGCATTAGTTTTTATTCCCATTGATTGATTTACTTGTGGGGAATCATATATTTTCCCTAACAACTGGTACCAGAGCTTACGGTTTATTTGGGTTTATTTATTTGTGTAAATCAATGGAGGGAAATGTGCGTCGTATGTCTAGCTTCAATGGAAGCAATTGGGTAACTTGGAGAACTAAAATGGAGGACCTATTATTTTGTAAAGATTTGTATGGACCCATTGAGGGTGATAGTGGCAAACCTAATGATATGAAAGATGATGTATGGAAGAGACTTAATCGAAAAGCCGTTAGTGTTATCCGTCAATGGATTGATGACAGTGTGTTTCATCATGTTGCTACTGAAACTTCAGCACATGATTTATGGAAAAAATTAGAAGGCCTTTATGATAGGAAATCAGCCACAAATAAAGCTTTTCTGTTTCGTAAGTTGGTTAATTTAAAATATAAAGAGGGCAGCCCTATTCCGGAACATCTGAATGAAAAAAAGAGTATTGTTAACCAACTTGTTTCTATGAAAATTGTTTTTGATGATGAGTTGCAGGCTTTGATACTACTTAGTTCTTTGCCCGAAAGTTAGGAAACTTTGGTTGTGACAGTTAGTAATTCGGCACCTGATGGAATTGTCACAATGGGCCAAGTCACTAGTAGCTTGTTGAATGAAGAAACTTGAAGAAAATCAGCAGGTTCCTCTCATTCGGAAGCATTTGTTGTGAGAGGCCGAAGCAAAACAAGGAGGAGGAGTAAGACTCCTCATGGTTGTGATCAAAGCCGTGACAAATCAAAAGATGGTTCTTTTTCAAAAAAAGACATTGAGTGCTATTATTGCCATGAGAAAGGGCACATGAAGTGGGAATACCGAAAGCTCAAGAACAAGGAGAAAAGACGTGACAAAAGTGTGGATAAGAAGCAAGAAGTCACTACAGCAGTTACTACCGATGATCTCATGGTCGTTTGTGAAGATGATTGTATCAATTTTGTAGGCCAAGAGAGCAATTAGGTGATTGATTCTGGTACTTCTTTTCATGTGACTTCTCAAGTTGATTCCTTCACTACCTACACCGAAGGAGATTATGGTTCTGTTCGAATGGGTAATGAAGGTTTGTCCAAGATTATTGGCATGGGTTATGTTTGCTTGGAAACAAATTTGGGCTGCACATTGTTGCTTAAGATGTTGATGCTCGTTCTCCTCGTACAAATCGCCGTCAATTGGGATACTCTTACATGCGGGTTCGACTAGATGAGAAGGCTTCAACAACAAATGTACGTGATGGAATATGGAAGCTCACAAGGGTTTCTTTAGTGGTGGCTAAGTTGCAAGATAGACGCACATACACATTTATTCGATGACCAAGGATAAAAGTTTTGTAGAAGGTGTTGTCAACGCGACTGAAGATGATGACTTCTAGCCGATTGCGCGGCACAACTAGCGGCTTGGCCATATGAGTGAAAAGGGCTACATAGTTTGCTTCAAAGAGAAGAAGCTTCTACCCGGTTTAAAGGCTAATATACACATATCCAGAGCATGTTTCATGCTGCTTCTGCACAGTGGCAGCATATGGTAATTTCGGGAATTGGTGTTGTGTTTACCCGTACCATTCGGTCTTTTAAGACGGCATTACGGCTCTCGCACAAACAAACAGAAGGTTTTTCTCTTTTCCATAAATTTTGCTTTTCTAGGAAAATGAAAATGTTTTTAGGGAAAGGTGATTCATTCGGCATATTTGTGGTCCTTCTGATACAGCTGAACACATAGTGGTTCGACCTTTATTTTGTCTATTTCTCATTGATGATTATTCAAGGAAAAGTCGTGGGATTCTCTCTACTAAAAACTAAAGTCAGGTTCTAGAAGTATTTAAGGCTTTTCAACGTGCCAGCACAGTGGGTCAGATAAATATAGAGAGGAAACTCAGGATCAGAAAATGAGTACGAGTGCGGCTATTACTATCGATCAGTAGCCATGGTGGTGAATACATTGGGAGTCACCGATATTTGATGACGAGTACACTTACAGTCACACGCATTTATACGGTCGCGAACCAAAGTCGTTATTAGAACTACTATACGGATTCTCTCGCACCCTAAAGCAAGGCATTGCAGGGTTAAGTGGCGAAAGACTGCATCATATCAATAAGTTAGGGGAATACGCGGTGGGGGGCGTTTTAGCAATGGCCAATTTCTCAAAGCAAGCGATGTAAACCGTCGGGTTTCGATGGGGCACACCCATTTTGGAAAGAGAACAAACCAAGGGATTGCTCACAACTAAATCCAAATCCTTGTAGGGCAATTGGAAACAGCGGGTTTGGGACGTATCAATTTGGTCTCCTTCCTATCCTCTGGGAATGGTTATCTATAGTTTCCGAGAAAGAAAGGTTTGGACTTGCATTAAAGGATGTCTTCATACACAAGATCGAATGGCAGATTGAGAGTAATATGTATATTTAATTTATGGTCTGGGGTTTGCCCCGTACCAGGTGTGAGCTCTTTCCTTTGTTTCCCACAGCTCACAACAATTGTAGGGCGGTATTTTCGATGAGGACAAACGGTTCCACAACGCCTTGATTTGACTAAAGACACCTATACATTTCAAAAGAACATATTTATTTTTTCTTTGCCTAAAGGGCTATAGGGGGTTGGGAATGGAATTCGGATTTTCTCTTCAAACCCCAACTAACCAACGGGAGCGGAGGGAACGAGTGGCAAAAAAAAAAGAGGTATGAGTAGTATCAGGGAATTTACATCACACGCCCCGCGCATTAGTCTCACACGTAAAAAAATCATTATACTTCACTTGTTCTGACTTACTATCAGACGGGCATCTTGGAAATCCTCTCATCCCTTTTGGAGAATGCTGCAGTACGTTATCAGAGAAAATCGGCACACAAATTACTCTCAAGTGCTCATAAGATACATGCTTTAAACGTCCAAACTCTTTTTTCTGGGACACATCACCATAAAAAGGATCAGGCAGGGAGAGCTCGAACATAATATTGATTTACGTCAACGCGCTGGGGGGTCTTCATTGCCCTCACCATTTCAAAAGGAATCTTGCTATTTAGCTTGTAAAGGCAAATACCTTCGTTCTTTCTCACTAATGGTGCGGTTCATTCCTCTCAGCAACGCGCATTGCTGATTGGATTGAGGCGGATTTCTCGACTTCTTCTAACTTGTCTTTTGGTGCCGCACAGAAGTATGGCCAGAACTTGCGTTTGTTGACAATTAGCTTAGACCATTCAAGGAGGTTCTACCGGTATTCGCACTAACCATATTCTTTTTTGGCACGCATTCCATTTGGTCCGATTACGGGAATTGCACGCCACAGAATTGTTTGTACTCCTGCGGATCTTGACACCCTTTTTTTCAACCAATGGCACTGAAAAGCTTAAATAGCTTCTAGAAAATTGATCTTTTAGTTTTTTAGTATGAAAAGGCCAAAACTTTCATTTGAATCGAATCACTGCAAACTGAAAGGTTAACACAAAACAAAAGTGCCATCAGCTATACGGATATTCTCCTGCATCAAGGGTCCATAGCGGTCAAATAGGTTAAGGTACGTGGGTTTTCCGTAACACTATGTGTTCCCATTTTTTGCGCATCGTACGGTTCCGAACACACTTACAAGAACAAGGGCACTATAAACTCGGATTTTTTCTCTTCTGGCAGAGCAGTTTGGCATGTATAAATTGTAAATATTCTTTCAGAGGGATTCCCATAAAAGACCCATTAGGGGGACTCTTTGGAACGCATTACGGTTTCCGAAGACACCCACATCGATAACACAACTATACGGATTCCCTCAACTGCAACAGTGGCAGTATAATGTAAATCAGGGGTTTGACACTTAGCCATTTTCTCCACTGCATTAACGCGTTCGAACACTCGACACGCTATACGGATTCGTCCTCAGGCGCAACGAGGTGGCAAGAATAATGTAAATTACGGGGATTTTAGAGACTGCCATTTTCTATTTTCTCACCCAGCATATAATTAGAGTTTCAGAATATTTACACCAACCCATAGAGAACACCTATATCGGATCTCTCACTGGGCACCTACCACCCAGCTGGCAGAATGGATGTAAGACTAGACAGGTTTTCCGTATCCATTTTCTTGCGCATATACGTTGGTTCGATTTAACAATACCTTAGTATTTCACCGATTCTCCCTGTCCTGCATAAAAA